ATATATATATACACACACACACCAAGTTGCTATAAAATAATATTTACGGAAAGGGACAAAAGGAAATAGACCTAATCTTGCTATCCAAAATATGTCTCTTTCAATACCAAGGGGAATATTATTATTTACTTTAGAATGGAAAAATTCAAAAAAGTACGATTTCTAATTTGGAAAAATTAATGAGTTTATCTTATTGAATTTAAAAATATAAAATTAAATATAAAATAAAGTTAAAAAATTAACTATTTTAAAGTAAAAGAGTGCAAGGGTCGGAGAGCTTACGCCACGATTTTCTTATTATATTAAATAATTGAATTTCATTTTGTCATAATTGGGTCACGTGGTTTTATAATTTTGTTTTTTATAAAATTATTCAGTCTAAATTTGTTAATTTGATGTTTTTCTGTTGGTCGAACTAAAAGAATTGAACCAAATAAGACAATCGAATAAAAGAATTTAACAAACGACACGTAATGTAAGTACTTTTTATATTAGAAATTTTCTAAAAAGTACACCCTTCGTTTAAGCCGTATTTACATTTTAGATTCCGTATTTTCTAAATTATACTTTTCATACTACATTTTGCAGTGCGATAAACAAAAAAAAAAGTTTAAAAAATTATAAATTTGTTATTAAAAATAGTGAAATAGAATAGAAAATAACAAATTAGACCCTTTGTGTTACATTATTTAACATTGTACATACCAATTTTCAATAGGATTATGCATGATATCTAGTTACAAAATAATAGCTAATATAAAAATTATCTAATTTAATTTTTCTTAATAGCAAATAATAATTATTTATTTGTTTTTACAATGTTGGAATAGTCAAATGAAGAATATTCCATATTTTATTAAGACTTGAATAATTTATTTTCTATTAATTTGATGTTAGTATTTAGGAAAATAATAATAAATTTTGTAAATCACAAATTTAAAAGGAATTTTTTTAATGAAAATCAACAATAAGAAAATAGTATTCAAAATGTTTCATTAGGTAAAATAGAAAGTGTGAATTTTGATTTTAATTAAAGGTAATTTTTTATGATCAGGAGAAAACGTGGTTATTGTAAGGGCTTGTTTGGGAAAAATTATTTCAAGTAATAAACTATTTTTTAAAGAATAAAAGTTAAAAAGAAATTATTCGACATATCCATCAATATCCCGGCTCGCCAGTCTGTTTGTGACCACTATATGGTCGATTGACTAATCCAGGACCCTATTCTAATTCTACATCTACTAACCTTTATGCCAAGTCAAATTTGACACCTATACTATTTACCCTATTTTTTAAAATTTATTTTTTCTCAAAATTCATTTTATCTATATATTTTATGAAATTCACAATTTTTTCAACCATACATTTTTATTAACTTTTATCGAGATTTATTACAATATAATTTTTATCTAAACTATAATTTCCAATCATTAATTTCCAATCTCCTCTCACTTGCAATTGATTATAATTTAACGTGCCCAAGTCATAGAATCCTATTATTGACACTTCTAGAAAAATGTCAAAAACCGGCAAATTTTTAATATATTAAATATCACATGAAGTGAAAATCATTTTTTGCACGATTCTAACCCTGTTATAATTCAATTATTTAAATGCTACTTTACTTTTCGTTTTTCAATATGTATTTAATCATTTAGCTACCATGAATGTATGTGTACATTTAACATATTTATTTAACCCGTGTGCTTTCATTAAAGAAAATTCTTGATGTATGGGTCCCACCCCATGTGAAGGGTGTGGACACCCTTATGTACATAAATTATGTACACATAGCATATCCCTTTTATTAATGTATGAATTCCCTATTATTGATTCTCAATTAATTAATATTCACATTTATTTAATTAATATCCATTTTCATTTATGCATTTTAGTGTTATTAATTTTAATTCACATTCAAGAATGTATTTCATTATTCACATCCATGTATGTTAATTAATATCCAATTTTTTCTTAATTGAAAATTAAATAAACGGTTTAACATTATTTGTTACGTATATATTTCTACTATTAATTCTAAATTAATTAACATTGACGCATATTCAAATATCACATTTACAATATTCATAAAGCATTTCTTAATAATGTGCGTTGTACGTTCATCTATAATATATTAAATATAATATCAAGTAAGAATTATTTTTTGGATGATTGTAATTTTATTATAATTCAATTATTTTAATAATACTTTACTTTTCGTTTTTCAACATTTATTTAATTTATTTAACCATTTAGTTACCATCAATGTACATGTACACTTGACAAATTCATTTAACATGAGTACTTTCATTAATGCATGAATTTCCTATTATCAATTCTCAATTAATTAACATTCACATTCATTTGCGCATTTTAGTGTTATTAATTCTAATTATAAGTTAATTAGAATTTCACATAAAAAAAATGCATTTCATCATTCATGCTAAGGAGTTGTCACGACGAAGGAGAAAGAAAGCAAAAGAAAATAGGAGTAGCAATTGAGGCGGCAGAATCAACTCACCTAGTTAGGATATTTCAATATACGTACTAATTTATGTCTTCAATAATCTTAATAAAAAGTACTTAATTATTTAAATACATCCTAAAATTTTATTCAAGCCTTTTTTTTTTTAAATTTTGATTCTTCGAGATATTTAATAAAACATTATCAAAGAATCAAAATTATTTTCAAAGAATCACTACTCTAAAAATCTTCATAAATAACCTATTTGATATGTATACTACTACCCCCTTCGTCACTCAATAAAAGCCAAAAGTGTCCAACCAAATCAAAACCAACTTCGACTTCAACTTCAAGTTCACTATTCATCGAACATTCCTACCCAACCCACCGACCCCCTCCTCCTCTGTGTATATATACATAAATATACCAAGAAAAGACCAAGAAATTCTCAATATGCTCTGCAATTATGGCGTTTCACTACCCAGATGCGATCCCCTCCGTTTCTCCTTCCTCCCATCAACCCGACCTGACCCACTTCTTATTCCCTCCTCTGTATCCTTCCGTGTCGGACCCGGCCGAACCATTAAACTCGTTAAGTCCACCATTAATGACACTCTGTCACTTACCTCGGAGAAGCCCTCCAGTTTCTACGATTTACTGGGCATACCCGAGACGGGCTCTTTGATTGAGATCAAACAAGCATACAGGCAGCTGGCTCGGAAGTACCACCCGGACGTCTCCCCGCCTGGTCTGGCTGAGGAGTATGCTCAGCAGTTTATAAGGGTACAAGAGGCCTACGAAACGCTGTCGGATCCTGGAAAGAGAGCGTTGTACGATCTAGACATGGCTAAGGGACTTCACCTTGCATTCTCTACCAGAAGGCATTCAAAATTTGACCAGGTTCCTTCACTTTTTCGAATATTCTGACCAATAGTAAGAGCATGTTAAGTCGAGAGGGCTCGTTCGACTGTTCGAGCTTTTATAGTTTAATTGTTAAACGTCACTTTTTAAGTAAGAAAGTTATTTTTAAAATGGATAAAAATTCTTTTATTCATGAAACTTAGAAATAAATCAAATATTTAGAGTAAGTTTAAGGCCTATGTGGGTCAGATTTAATTTAAGTCAAAGTCAAACAATCAATACTAACCACATTTTTTATGGATTCCACATCTTTTCAACCACACATTTCAAAAACTTCTATCACAGTGCATTAAAATCTGATTTTAATTTACACCAAACACCCTCTAAATATGCATTTGAATTTTGAAACCGGTAGATTTGTCAATTTGAAAGTAAGAAAGAATTAAGTCATTGAGACGGATTTTTTAGGCTTAGCCAAACATGTTCGAACAATTTGTCACTTATCTCAATTGGAAGAAACAGACCCTGAAAATTAGCTCTTGAGGTTCGGGAGCCAAAACCAATATAAACCACACAAAGAAAGATTAAATTTCCGATGTGGGATTTAGGTGTCCATACATCCCAATGGGAACCATGACACAATCTTGCAAAACAATATTCAAATCTCTAAAAGATATGGAGATGGAAAGAGGGATATGATTCTTTAAATCGTGTCTTAAGTCGTCTTCACGTGCTTGATTAATTTTTTATTGAAGTAATTTTTGTAATGAGTGATAATAATACTTGATTACGGGATATATGTTTAGTGGGATACTACTCGACTCAAAATCTTTACAAATTAAAATATATTTAGTTTTCATGAATTCATGGTTTACGGAAGCTTTATTTTGAAATTTGGTGAAAATATTTAAAAAGCTTGTTTACTAATCACTGCTAGAATTCTAGATGGGCAGATGAAATTTGGTGAGAAATATTCAGGTGACTTTCCATAAAATTCTTTTGACTTTTGGGAGGGTGGAAAGGAAAAGTTTTAGGCCAATTATGAAATTTGTTGATTTTAAAAGTTGGGCTTATGATCTGTTTGGTCACGCTTTTGAAAAGTCAAAAATTGTTTTAAAACATATTTAAATAATTTTTTGATTGTATTTTGTGTGACTACGAGTGTTTTTAGAGGGAGATGATCTTAGATAGCTTGTTTAGAAAACCTTTTTACAATAAACAAAAGTAAAAATAGAAGTTCTGCCAAACGGACTCTTAATGAGATTTGTAGGAAAAGAGTGTACAATCTTAAATGAAAACACGGTGTTAGAACTTTATTGAGGTTTGCATGCCAGTGGCATGTGCTGTTACTCGGTTTAGAGTCGCTCTCTCACACAGTTACACCCAGGGTGGATCGAAAGAAAATTATCTTCTTACGTTCAAAATAGGAGTGTTTTGCTTTTACAAATTGAATTTGATTATTCTTATAGTGTGTCTTACTGGGCTTGTTTTATGTTAATTACAGCAAATGGAAGAGAAGTGTGAATGCAAGAGGCGATGGGAATCTCAACTATCGGAGCTAAATAGAAGAAGTATGTACGAGGACTCTGCTGACAATATGTCGTGGGGGGCACAGATGCGGAGGCAACGAAAGGAATCATCTTAATCGTTGTTTGGTAAAGTTTTTTAGATAATAGGCCCCGTATTTTTCTTTATTTTGGGAAGGGTAAGGTGTAAATCCAAGTTCATTATGATGTACCTATATATGCTACCTATATAATAATGCATAAACGTAGGTAAGCTCCCTTAGAAATTTAGGAATCGGACCATGTGGACCGTTATCTAATAAACTCTATCCACGTTTGACTAAGCTTATATAAATAGTTTATTCATACTTTTTTGGGTCTAATGTTAACAATGTGTGCTTAAAACGGGATATCCCACTAAATGACCCAAATTCAAGGCCAAA